ACCTATTTGGACTCTCCAAGGCTTCTCCCACCAGATGCAGAGCAGAAGAGGGTCAGGGTCTTTGGGAGTTAACTGAAGCCTGCCTGGCGAGGGCAAGGCCATAGTGAGCTTGGGTCACTGCGTGCTACCTGGTCTTCCTGTTTAAGGATGGCCCTCCTCACATTGTCTTCTCCACCCACCCTTCAGCGCAGCTTTGGCAGCCAGATGTGGAGTCCACAGTGAATTCCAGCCCGGAGCCAAGGACAGAGCTATTGTTCCCTTTAACTTGTATTTGAACGCACATGGGGCATCACACCTAGGACTTGGGCTTTCTTACCTGGAGCAATGTTCATATGTGTTCTCATCCCGATCCGTTACAAATGCCATTCTCTTTAGCATCTTTCCCATGGGTGTTTCTGCTTGTTTAAACCCCTCCTTTATCTTGGAGCTGCTTTTCTACTAAGGAATAAAAATGAAGGACTAATTTCTGCATTTACAAAGGAATCAGAACCACACAGCTTTTCCCATCTCTATATCTGATGACTAACCTATTTGAAAAAGAAATGGTGAAAGTTCTTTCCTCCTCAGGTAAAGTTATCCAGAAACAAACGATACTGTTAACCTAATTATTTGCTATGGACTGTTAAAAAGAATAATTGGAATTCAGAAATTATTCAGCCCTTTAAAACTTCAAATGAATCACCAAAGTTCTAATTTTCTGGGACTGCTTCTATGCCACAATACTACCATGATTGTTTCAAGATTTTATTGTCATGTAACTTATCAAGAGAACCTAAATCGTTTCTATAGGAATATAGGAGTGCATCGAGGTGACAAAACATTGACATAGATAGAACTGATCCATAAGGTTTTTAAAGTATTTGATTACATACTAAAATATATGTAGGGATTGGGAGAATGGAGAGATCAGTATGGATGGAAGTTATCAGCAAAGTCTTACAGGAGGTCGCATTTAGGATGTGTCATAGAAAACAGAGATTTTGAACTGTGTCTTAAGAAAGTGAAGGACTAAATATGGATGTGGAGAGAAGATGGAAAATGGGGTTTGCTACTGTGCAAAAATCACCCTGCACATATTTAATTGATGAAGCAGAGACTTATGGAGGCCTTTGAAAAAGAAACTTTAAGAACATCTGGATCAAAGTAGCTATTCCAGATGAGAATATTTACATTTTTTAATGACTCTTCTGGTAGGAATGACAACATGTGATACACATGGACCCTCTATCTTAGACCCTCTTTATATAATTCATATGGAAAGACCTGCATTTCCCATAAGATTTCCCCAGGGTCATAGTTTTTTATTTGTATCTCAGATGCTTCATACACATGACTATTGTCATTTGCACTTGAGACTGGAGTGGAATTAAGAGTGTTGGCTTCTCGCTCTGGCTCAGGCACAGCTGGGGTACTGTGATTTGGGGGCAGTCACTTCATTCTTCGAGGCTTCATTTACCTCATCTAAAAAATAAGAGGGTGGAATTAGACAATTTCTCTGGCTTCATTTGGTGCCAGTGTTGTATGACTCATGATTCCAAGTGAAAATACACCAGCTCACAAGGCCATTTTGCTGGTTTTTATTAGAAATCATGGCCGTAACTGTATACTTGCAATTTACTCAATCATCCACAACATACATAAAAATACATAATCATTCATAAAATCCATAAACACCTTGGATTAGAAATATTACGATTTTGGTAAAAATGCATCACATCCTCTGTGGTTATTTTGCAGCTTGGTGACTCCTACCCACTTCAGAATTCCAAAGCATGAGATGCTCCCCGATGTCCAACTGGACATCAGTATCCTTGGGCAGCATGTGTTAAAACCAACCTTTTCTGTAACTGGTTTTACAGGAAAGATGACCCTCCTCCAATGATAAAAACACACTGCCTTCTCTCCCCTCTCTTCAACCAGCATCCAGAATCTGCTAAAAAGTGCTTATCACGGGCCCTTCCAATGCCCCACATTTGTAAATCTCTGCAATGTTGACATCTCTTCTCACGCGGCCCAACACAGGTTGGGTCCCATCTTCTGTGTTCTTGGAGGAAAACAGGGAGCACGCAGTTTGTGGTTAGTGAGCAAAGACAGCCGAGCCCAGGGGCTGCCGCTCAAGCTGTCTCTGTTGCCCACTCATTGTCTTGTTCCATTATACTTGCACATGGGAGGACATTTGCCAGATCCAGAGTCCTTGGACCCTGTTATTTGTGTGTCTTTTCTCACCTTCAACATGATCTGGACTGGTGTTTTCCTTTGTTAAAAACAAGAACATTCACTGGGAAACTTTTGCTGGCCTCATTTCGACTCATCATAGCTATTTATTCTGTGTCATAAACTATAATTCTCCATTTCCCTTACTCTCATGTCAGGGGAGCTGGTGGTTTACGGTGGACAGTCAGTGGAATTTGAGTGAAAGGTGGAAGATTTCAAAGAACTACCAAGAGATTATGTAGCAGGTTATAGGACTAAGAACAAAACATAAAATACTCTTGTTCTTGATCACAGTTTGGCAGTACAAAAAAAAAAAGGCTCATAAAACAGCATAAAGGATTTAGAATTTGTGGCTATACCTGAGAAAGACTTTTCTCTGAGGGAAGCAAATGAATGATAGGATTGGCTTAATAAGAGATTTCCTTTATGTGAATAAACATAATAGCCTAGGATCTGTCTAATTGGTCTCAGTCTTGGGCAGGTATGGAAGCTACAGATTTTTTCCAGAACTCTGCTTAATAGGAGCATGAAATACATGTTGTGGTGCTGTCAGAAAGGCCTAGATGACCTAGAGAGACCTGAAGTACAAGACAGATAAAACTGTAGAAAAAAAGATTTGGGAAAGAGAATGAAAACAACAGGAAAGCCTCCAAATATTTAAATACAAAGGAGAACACAGATGTGAGGCCACTGCTGAGCGCTGTTTGACCCCAGGTGTTTGGATTCCGGTGTGGATGTAATTGTAAAAGAATTTTGCTGATAGGTGAATAGTGGTATAATCAAGATGTTGGCTGGGATATTCCAGGCCTTGATCGATCCCAGAAATCATGATAATTAAATTGGCTCCATTCTCAGGATGCTGCAGACCTGACATTCTTACTGAAAGTGTCACAGCAACTTCTTCAACACAAGGCTCCTGGTGGAGATACCACAAATGGAAAAAAAAACAGGGAGGTGGTCAACTGTGAACATGACCCTAAAACTGAAAGAGTAAGTGTCAGCACCTTCTTAGCTGGAGGAATGGGATTGAGATTGTATGGATTTTTTTCAACAAGAACAGTTTTCTAAAGACAAGAAAAGTTCCACATTCAACAAGTGCTTACTATATCTGGGTGCTTTAAATATCCAGAGGAAATGCACAGTCTCTGTTCTAAGCTTCTGTTCTGGGAAGGCAGCACTCATGATGAAGGGATCTCTGATCAAAACCACTTGGAAGACTCCATTGTCAGGCACTGAGAGATCTGGGCCAGGAGCTCCTGGATATAAGCTACATTTTGAATCCACACCCAAATTTAGAACATGCCCTCAATTTGTGATAATAATAATATTACAGCTCAGGTAGGTATCACTTTTCTTTAGGACATCATGATTCAAGCTAGTTGCTTTTTTTTTTTTTTTTTTTTTTCAAGTAGATTCCATATCCTGCCTGGAGCCCAACACGGGACTTGATCTCAGGACCCTGAGATCAAGACCTGAGCCAAAATCAGGAGTCAGAGGCTTCACCGACTGAGCCACCAGGCGCCCCTGGTTGCTTTCTTGAGTGTGTTGTGTGCTTATACTCAGAGAGGAATAGGAGACCTCCTATCTTGGAAAAAATGGCTGAGAGCTACTCTTTATTGCGTGTGGAGCAAGGGACCAAACCCCGATTTCCCTCTATCCTCACTCTCATTGCTCCTGTTTTTCTTTGGGCCGAGAGTCTGAGGGGAGGGCCGTTGGAAGTATAAGTCCAGTTCACCAGGCCAAGCATGTGTCTGGGGCCTCCGCACCTCTGTGCTATAAATCTCTGGGCACCACATGGCCTCTGCAGTGACCAGGCCTCACAGGGACGTCTTGCTGGTGATGGTGACCCAGCTGGTGTTCTGCTCAGCTTCACACATCCATCATTCCTGCCTGCGCTGATGTGGGTGGCATCACTGGAGTGCGCTCCTCTCTTATTTCCTTGGGCAGGCTGGATGAGCAGCTTGCCAAGACGTGTTTGGGGGAACTGAGAGGAGAACAAGGGGGCAGATCTTGACAGGTGAAACCTTGGGGGGGTCACGATTCCCCAAATGTTCTGGGTGAAACTGTTTCAGAGATCTTTCAGTTTGGTTCCCTGTACTTGTGTTCTCATTGGGTGAGTCCCAGGCCAATGCTGGCTTGGGTGATGGTGTGGGAGCACCATCCCTGATCTAGGCTGAGGCTTTGGAAGCTGGCCTTAGCAAGAGCACAGAGCCCTGAGCAAATGCAGTTAGGAATGACTCAGTGTTTCCAGGAAAACACGTGGTAAAATAGGACTCCCTCTCATCAGTTTGACTAACTCTGCATTTGTGTTTGCATGGGTATGTAGAGGAGAAGGAACCAGGGAATAGTTGGTTTCTCTGGTTGTGAAACTGTACAAATGAACAGAATATAACATAAGACAAAGGAGGTCCAAGGCAATCTACTCTTCTTCCCCCACCCTACATTAGTCCAGAGAATATGGGTAGAAGTTAAGATTTTCCTTTAGCCATCTTTGACAAGGCAGACTTCAAGAAGCATGCAAGAAATGTCTCCCTGTCAGTTCAGGTCTGGTCCCAGATTTAGAAGTAGCAGCCAGACCTCAGAACTGCCGGGGGGTCCTTGGCCGGTGGACTCAAGAGCACCGATGCCTGTCCTCATCTGCACATTGAATGTGACATTTGGCTCTAACACTAGAGATGTAAGAATGTGAGCAAAGGAAACAATCTCTTACTGTAGATATTCAGCAGAGTGTAAATGGGGACCTGGACGAGACTTTAGCTCCTTAGCATCCATTTCTTCTGCTCCAGATGATCAGCTGAACTCCGAGGAAAAGAAAAAGAGAAAGCAGCGGAGGAACAGGACGACGTTCAACAGCAGCCAGCTGCAGGCTCTGGAGCGCGTCTTTGAGCGGACACACTACCCAGACGCCTTCGTGCGAGAGGACCTTGCCCGCCGGGTGAACCTCACCGAGGCCAGAGTGCAGGTAACCGAAGTATTGCCTCAGGGGCACGCATCGCAGCCTGCTCAAAAATGCCAGTCATTGGTTTCACACAGGAGCTGCTACTAAGAAAGATTACAAAGGGGCAGCATGAGGACAGAATCAGATCCTAAGTGTGTTTCTTTGGGCAGCATAGTATTTGTGTTTTTATTTTTAAAGATTTTATGTATTTATTTGTGAGAGAGAGAGCGAGCACAAGCAGGGGGAGCGGCAGGCAGAGGGAAAAGGACCCAGAGGGAGAAGCAGGCTCCCTGCTGAGCAGGGAGCCCGATGTGGGGCTCCATCCCAGGACCCTGGGATCATGACCTGAGCAGAACACAGATGCTTAACCGACTGAGCCACCCAGGTGGCCCAGCATGGTATTTTTACAAATCAACTTTAAGCCCTTAGGGGGGCAGAATATGCCCTGCTGGGAGGCTCACTCCTCATTGCTGCCTGCCCTTGCAGATTCCCGTTACAGACATTATAATTCTGAGCATTTGACTCTACACCTCCCACCCCAGCTTTCTATTTGAGCTTCAGGGTGGCCAAGGAGATGAATTCTCTGCTCCTTACCTCAGATTTCCTTCCCCGATTTTGGGAGCTCCAAACCTGCAAGCGATTTATTATAAAGACACATGGTTGTGGACACTGGTGGGAGTGGAAAGGAGCACATCAAAGACCTTGCATTTAAGAATGGAGTTAAGAGCGTGTTCAAGTGAATGATTTTGTGTTCTGTGAAGCAATGAAGGGCAAGGGAATGAAGGACAGTGTAGAGAGAGAAGAACAGCACTTCTTTCTAACATTAATGCCATGGCACATCAACTGCAATCCAGACATCTTGAAATAATACAACCTGGGATTAGTAATAATGATGATAATCACCTAATAACTAGCACTACTTGAACCCTTATATGCCAAGTGCTATTCTAAGTCCTTTACATGAACTAATCTGTTTCATCATCATACCAGTTCAGTGAGGTGGATAGCATTCTTCACCTTGCAGATGTGGAAACTGAGGCACAGAGAGTTTCCAGTATTTTGCCCAGCGTCCCAGAGCCAGCAAGCGGCTCAGCTGGGATTTGAATGCAGATATGCAAAGTTCATGCTTGTAAGCCCTAGAGTAGACTTTGAATAAGAGTCTCCTGGCTAAGTGCTTCCTCACGGGGTGCCTTGCTCTCTCTGCTGGAGGTAAAGATCTCATTATCTTCCCTAGAGCTGGTGGTGGGCTGCCGTTTTGATAAGGGTGGGTGTGGATTAGGCCAATCTGTCTTGTCTTCTTGAGGAAATTATTGTTTGTATATTTGTGCTCAGTCTGGACTTGAGGGATTTCTTTCTGCAAGTGACAGATCTCTTGACTGACAGGGACTTTAGCTAGACCCAAAGGGCATTGAGGTGAGAACTGTGTCCATGCCTTGAGGTGCAGTATACTGTGAGGGACACTTGCTGAGTTGATGGGGGGGGTCCTGGGGGTCCCTTCAGCCTGATGGAAAGTTTTCCAGAGTTCTCCCCATAGGGAAGCAGTGACCTCACCTAGAAGGGCTCTCCCCAGGAGAGAACAGGAGGTCAGCAACAAAAGGGAAAGTTGCCTAGACCGCTACCCCACGTGGGTTAGGCGAGGCCCTCGGCACTGCTTGGCAGCCCCTCACGGCTCAGGTAAGAATGACCTGCAGGATCTGCCGGGACAAGGCTCAGTTGTGCTGTCTCGATTCCGCCTTCCAAAGCGCAACCCTGAGGTTTGCCTTCCCACATCCTCTTCCCCCATGCTGCTAACCACAGCTCTCCAAACAGCCTCTGTATTTCCACTCTCAAATCCCTTCCTCTCCCTTCAAACCCCCCATATCTTCTATGCCCCAGGCTTGGCCTGCTGCAGTGTGATGAGTAATTTTAGACCAACAACCCACAGTACCTTGAAGCACCACTTTGGCATGGTGATCTGAATTGTAAATAAGGACACCTGGATGGGACAACGCTAGACATTTTTTTTTTTTTAATGTGAAAGAGCAGTTTGTGAGCTGGTCTTTCCCCCCTTACAACAATAAACAAATGCTTTCTTACACATTGAAACTATTTTCTCTTCCTCCTTTCTCACCCTACTATGTTCTAATCCCTCTCGAAGCTGTGGACATTTCATACGTGTGTGGACAGAATTCTCCCTCCACCACGTTATTTTTCCTCCATGAAGTTTACCCTTCCCCAGTCTGCACCACTCCCTTCTGACCCTGGCTTTCTTTATGGCATTTATCACAACATGACGCCTATTATATTGAGTTGTATGTGGGCCAACTTCCCCAACTAGTTTGTGAATCCTCTTGGATGGAGGCCATATCTTATTTTTGCAAAACTCATTTTTTTCCCTCTGTCTCTTTCCTCTTATTTTTCTCCCCCTCAAACATCTATCAAGCACCTATTATACTCTTGGAACCGTTTCTGTTTGCTGGGGATGAGTAAGACACTGGCCCTCTCCTTAAGGGTGTTGTAGACTGGAGACAGAGAAGATAGATGTGCATGCCATACTGTTATGACATATAAGATGATTCCTATACTTAAGGAATATACGAGAATTCATGATAGACCAGAGGAAGAAATGATCAAATCTGCCTGGGGAAAAGGGGGGGAAATACACACATATTAAGCACCCATTCTGCACCAGCTCTCATGACAGCCCTGTGAGTACTATTGTCTCTGTGTGGTTCGGAGACAAAGCATCAGAGGCACTAAATAACTATTCAATGACAAAATTTTAAAGTAGTGGAACCAGTATTTTGATCCACTCCATTAGACTTTAAAGTCACGTTCTTTCCACTACAACTGTTTACAAAAGAGATGATACTAAAATCAAATCTTGAAAAAGCAAGTCTTTGGACACCTGGACAAAGAGGGGGAGACTATCACAGACAGAGGGAGCCTTTGGTGTGGGAAATAACTGGATGCATCTGGGAGTCTCGAGCCCAGGGTAGGAACTGGAATGATGGAGGGCCAGTGCATGGGGTCCAAGTGATGCAGGATGTGGCCGGGTTGGTGGACCAAGAGCTAGTTCCTGAACAGCCTTTGTTCTATGGTAAGAAGTTTTGATTTTATTCTGTGAGTGATGGAGAACCAGTGGATAATATAAAGCAGGGCACTGATAGATTCCATTTGCATTTAAAATGATCAAAGTAATAGTAATGCCAAGGACACGTGAGAAACAAAAGAGCTGGGCGTGTGCGAAGCCAGAAAGTGAGGACTGGATTCTCCTTCCCTGATGTCTGCCTGTCCCTTCCACCAGCACGACGCACAGAGCACCAGCCACATGGCATTTTACACCCATGTTGCTCCCAGGAGCTGTGCCACTGTCCCACTCCACACCACACGATGTCTTTCTCCTATGCCTTGCTCTGTGTTTTCCATAATTGTACCTAAAAGACTTGTTTTGGAGCTTTTCAAATTTACATGCCTGTCTTCTCTTAATAGACTATGAGCTGCTTATGAGCAGAGAATTAGTCTCATGTCCCTACTCCCAGCAATTAGCGCAGACTCTGGAACTTGGCAGGGACCCCATAAAGATTTCTTGAACGAGTAAACGATTGAATGCAATTCCGTGGCACTCTGGAGGACTTGTATGGTCATGAGCCAGATGTCCTCGAGCACAGAAACTTAGCCATTGATTATCTGAGTGAATTTCAACAGATGACTTAATCTCATCGAATCTGTTTCTTCAACTCTGCAATAGAAGAAGTAAAACCTAATGTACGGAATGGGCACAACAAGTAGAAGTAATGTATGCAGTGTGGTTATGGAAGTTTCTAGCCCTAGCAGCACTTGATAAACATGTTATGAGCTGTAGCGGATGCTGTCGCTAGCTGCTTCTTGCTGTAACTTCCTCCCTCTTAACCTGGTGCTCCTCGCACCTTCCAAATAAACCACTTGCTTCGTAAATTCTTGCCACAGGCATTGGTGATGAGATGGAGACTTTTCTTTAAATGTCCAATAACTATTTCGAAAGCAGATGATATTTTCACATTTGGGAGAATTTTGAAAAAGACTTTTAAAAATGTCACTCTATCCATGGCAGATGTCTAATGAGGTTTTTCTCTTCTCCTTGATTACAAAACAACAGGGATTGTGACCCACATTTTGCTGCCTTGTGGGCTGGTCGTGGATCTCATCTCTGGGGGGCCTGATGGAAGTCCCTCAGGGTCCTGTTGTAATAGTCTTCTCTGATAACAGGGTAGCTCGCTAACCTGGCCCAACAGGGAAGGACTGTGGCATCTTTGTATTGTTCTGGGAAGAAATCTGTACCCGTCCTGTTTCTTCCTCGGGGAGGCGTTATGTGGTAACATTGACCAGGACGTTATTCGTTATTTGTGTAACCTCTTCTTCTTTGTTTCCCTCTCCCTCCCTGTGCCCCGCTCTCCTCCCGACGCTCTTCCAGGTGTGGTTTCAGAACCGAAGAGCCAAATTCCGCAGGAATGAGAGAGCCATGCTGGCCAATAAAAACGCTTCCCTCCTCAAATCCTACTCAGGGGACGTGACTGCTGTGGAGCAGCCCATCGTACCTCGTCCTGCTCCACGACCCACCGATTATCTCTCCTGGGGGACAGCCTCTCCGTACAGGTGAATGACTGGCCCACCCCCCCTTGCTCCACTTCCACACGTTTCTCAGCGGTCGGTCACGTTTCAGAGCTGCTGGTGTGGCTGGCTGACATTTCTTACTGGGTTAACCTCTTCAGAGACATTCAACTTGCTGACACCCCCAGATTTTCACGGGAGATTACTAGTTGCCCCAGGAGCAGGGTTTGGGGCAGAAGAGAGAGGGACAGGCCATCAGCAATCTTCTCTTGGACTCAGGAACTCTTGCAAAGTTTTCAAAGATGGGGAAGAATCTAAAAGAAAAGATCATTAAGCTATGCCCAGAGTCCCTCTTGCAAACATTCAGGAACAAAACTTGACTCCAATTTCAAATTTAAGATGTGTTTCATTACGCTCAAGTAGAAATTTAACTTGTAAGGCTCCAGGTGTAGGCTCAAAGACAAACTTTATGGTAAAACTGATTTTGAATTAAAAGAAGAGAAGGAAGGAAAGGAAAAGGAAGAGAGGAAGGAAGGAGAGAGAGAGAGACAGAGAGGGAAGGAAGGGAAATCCACGACCATTCTGATCACGCTCATGGCCACAGTCCCTTGTTAGCAAGTAGGGATGTCTTATGATCCAAAATACCTCCTGTTCTATTGCAAATTCTTATCTACTTATCTGAAGTTCTTTGGGGGTCCGTTTGTCTGGATGAGGTTTTTAAAATATAAAAACAATGTATAATTTACTCTCAACTTTTATATTAAAAAGGTGAAAAATTTTCAAGAAGCAAATAACAGAGTACTATTTCAATTTCTTGGAGAGGCTTTTTAAATCTCCATTTATTATCTGTTCGGATAATACAGGTTAATGCCCAAGGGAAGTTGAGACCCAAGTGCCTAAAGCATCATCATTGTTCCAAAGTGCCTTTCTTTGAACCAACCTAAACCTGAGTACTCTTAGAAACCAGGTCAAGGCTGTGTGCTCTCTCTGGCCAATTGCAGTGGAGGAAGTATTCACACATTCACTTATTATGCTTTTATTTGCCTTTTTATTGTTAAGGTTAATTAACGCTTTAAGGAGAGGCCTTAAACTAGTTATAGGAGATTATTTCCCAGCTAATGCTGAACTCCTGATATGAAATGCCACATTTGTGAAATGCAAATACTTTTCAAAAGTTGATGGTTTTAATCAAAGCATAAGGCCTCACCTAAATGTTCTTTCTGTTCCAAATCAATTCCTTGAAAGAAATGCCATAAATGTATTTGGAATTTTTTTTAATCCCCCATTGTGAAATTAGTCTGAATTATGTTGGTCTTAGCACTTAGAGACCCCATACCTGGGAAATTGGGAATTTCTTCATCTCTCAGATATAGTAAGCCTTGCTGATTTCAAAAGATTAGCCCTATCTGTATGTCTGACTTAAAATTTAGACTCTTTTCCCATAGGACTTACTAAAACACATTTTGAAGACCATTGTGAAATCATATATTCTTTAATATTTTAAATAAGTAAAAGACTGCTTTGTTTCTCTGATAAATAATGGTAGCTCACAGACTCATTAAATGGCTTGGGAAATGGATGTGGTTCAAAGCTTGATGTTTCAAGGTCTCTGGTTTGAATTTGGTCACGACCAGGAAGTATTATTCCTTTTCCTGCCTGGGTCCCAGTTAGGAACTTTTCACACCAGCTCTAAACCATCCAGATGGCTGCCATGTAGTCCTTACCAGTGAGAGTCTGAGGGCAGTACGCTACCTACCTACCCTACGTGGGTTGGGCTCAAATCCTCCCTAAATTAATATTGGATCAGATTGCTTGCCCCTCAACGAGAGGTCAAGCCTTAATGCCTGCATCATACATATTTTGCATATGGGCATCTAACTGAAATTATTAACATGCAATTTATGTGTGCCTTTTTTGGAAATGTCCTACTTTATTTTGGAAAGATTATGTAGAAATACTAGATACATTTTTAAAAAACATTCATAATTCCATCATCTTAACATAACTAGTTTGGTTATTTTTGCAATTAGAGTTCAGTATTTTATATAGTGTAGCCTTAGTGTACATATTTTGTATTCTGCTGTTTTCATTTAAAAATCATATAAACTAGTGCTTTTTACTCATTTCACAGTATACTTTTATATAATTTTTTCTCTTAGATACAGAGTTTGTAAAAAAAATTAAAAATTGCATAGAATCTGATTGTTCATATTCTGTATGAAGAATAAATTAATCTCCAGATAGAAGTAGAAGAATGATGGTTTAAAATAGTAATTTAATCAGTATCAATGTTTTTGACCCAATGTTGACTGCAGTGTTTATATTTTGGTTAATTTCTAAAAGTGGCAAAGCTATTCTGTTACTCAGAGATTTTTCTGCTATGTTTAGAACCAAAATACATTATGGTTTCACATTTTGAAGCTTGGTAGGAAACATGTCTTGTTTAGGAAACATAAAAGAGAAATAAGTGATGAAAAGCAAAGGAAACGATAGACCTTTTGTGTTATAAAAAATTAACTGGCTATTTCTGTTGGTTCATTTATGTCAAGTTAGTTATCTCACATGTGACATTCATTAAAAGGCATTTCTTTTGGTTAATCCTTGGAACTCTCCTGTGTGCTAGCTCTGTCCTTGCTTTGGTTCCAAAGAAGAAACTGAACACTTGCTCAAGTTTAAGCCTTCAGCAAGCAGAATAAGACCGAGTGCTTGTGATCCCTGTGTCTTTTCAGCATCTTAGGCCACATCACCATATTTTCATTCAAATTAAGCCTTACATTACATTGAACATAGTAAAAAGGGTAAGACCGGGAAACTGTGTAAACATGCCCTTTTGATTCAGTGTCTATCTCAGATCAGTGAAGCACGCCTGCGGCTGAGATCCACCTTCTGGGGTGTGTGAACATCCCCTTGGGATGACTGATGTGGCTTGGTCATGCAACCCAGGGACAGTGAGCAGACAGTTTTGCCAGAGAGGATACTTTGTTGACTTCCACAACTCTCCCCTGAAAGAGGAGAGGAGGAAACCAAGACTCAAAGCAACTGTTTGCATGTGGTCAGAATTATGGGATGGAAGATAGCCAACACATTTTTTTCTGGGTGTCTTTTATATCCGGAGTGGTGGCTGTATAATTTATCGTCCAAGCTGGGACACTTTTGAGAGTGAAAGGGGAGTGCTATTAATAATGACACCAGAACAACAGGCGTCACAGGAGACATATGGCTCACCCTATTTATAGCACGACATGGCCCCGTCCGTTCCCTTGAGCATGTTATAGATGATGATGTCAGGCAGGCAACTGAGTCACCAGGAGGCGCAAAGAGTTCTCTAACATAGACAATACTGTCCTGGCAGGTGTCGTCTTTATCTACCCATAGCCAGTGGAGGGAAGCTTGTTTTGGCACATCTGCCCACTGCTTAGCTCAGAACTGTTTTCCGTAGGCAAAGGAGGGTGCGCACAGCACCAGAGGTATTAAGACTAACAAATATTGTGGTGCTTTGCCTCTTGGGGAGCAGTGATCAAGCAAATCCCAGACTTTTAACTGTTATTCTAGATTTTAAGTAGTCAAGAAGCCTCTCCCCAGAGACATCCTTTCCTATGGGAGCTAGAGAATGACCTGGGTCTGCAGTGCCAATTCCAGAGGGAGGACTGGGCTTCAAAGAAAACTAGTGACAGGCAAGAGAGCGGCCAGCCGTCCCTGTCCACGGCTACCCCCCCATCCTTCTCCTCCTCCCCCATTTGATCGTGGTCACGGTGCTGCCTGACATCCGCTGAACGCATTTGGCTCATTTCTCCCTTTCACACTTTCAAAAATAGATCCTCGTCCCTCCCAAGATGTTGTTTACACGAGGGGCTTCATAACGGATTCTAACGGAAGACACTGAAAAGGTAACTTGTCAGAGGGGGAAGAGGGTGGCTGCTGGGGGTAGGGTTTAAGTGGGAATGAAGTGTGTTCAAGAAAGTGGGTCTTGCAGTTTTAGCAATGCCGCTAGTGAAGTCCTCAAGTGGGCAATACTGTGGGAAACCAGAGCTACAGGCATATGTGTCCATAAACTTAAGGGTTAGTAGGATAGCCTAGAGCAGGGCTCCTCGAAGACTACTGAGCATGTGAATCACCTGGGATCAGGCTGCAATGCAGACTCATTCTGTAAGTCTGGAGCAGGACTCAGGGTCTGCATCTCTAACTTGCTTGCCTGTGATGCTGATGCTACTGACACTTAGTATTCGGTGACCGTAGGATATGGGGCAAGGGTCGGAAAAACTGTGTGCTTGTCCTGGCACCTGCGGCTCCCCAGGCCAGTTGGATCATCAGGCTCTTATGTAGCCTTGCATCTAAGGTCAGCTAGCAATGTTTCCCTACTACATAGCTCACAGGGGCACTTAATTCCAGGTAGTCCGTGTGCATTTCAAAAAAGAGACACAAAAGTCCTTGAGACAAGAGAAAGATACAAGGCTCCATGTATAAAAACATTTGTAGAAAGAAAATTTGAATATGGCAGAGGATCACTGAAAGAGCAGTGCAAACTGAAGGCTCACGCGGGAAATATGGTCCAAGTTGGATCTGCTTTAAGAGCTAAATACGTGTTTAAAAATCAACTTCTGAATTTCAGAAACAAGTTAGAAATGCTTATTTAAATCACAAAAGATCACTTCCAAAAGGATTTATGGGGTCTCTCTTTAGAAGTAAATTTCCATAGGAAAGCTGGTATGGAGTTGTCTTAGATGAAGCAGGTATACCTCTGTTCCCGCACTGACAAACGCACAAGCAGAAAGATGGTCTCCAACCTCCACACATCACAGACAGAGTCACAAAAGCCTCACGCTCTACAGCTTTTGGAAAAATCCCGAGCTGGTGAAACCTTAGGATCTCAGGATGACACACAGACTTCTCGGGCTGACAGATTTGTCTTTGGGGGGAAATTTTCAACAGCTTGTCATCATTTGTCCAAGAGGGCCAAAGAGAAAACAAAGTTAGAGCTGAAAACTGAGGCAGGCATTATTTTTCCCCCAGCGCTCCTCAATTGTTTGGTGATTTGTGGGGCGTACACCACGGGAGACTCAAAAGCAGAGGGGCAGATGCCCATAAGTTTCCTGGCTTTAGAATCATACCGTATATAGAATTTTCCATGCTTCCTTGGTGTTTGGCAGTCATCTGAACACGTTCCTCCTCCCGACAACCTTTCGGGGAAGGTTGAAATGATCAAAAATGATTTGTCCCCAGTGCAAATGGAACTCGAACCCTGCCGTGGTTAGCATTCTGCTGTCTGTGGCTGAGCTCCATCTGTTAGGAATCTCCAAATAAGGAGATGGAAAAATTTCAAGCTTACTTAAATTTGTCAGCTCTGTACAAGTCCCGGTGCAGAGCTGCTGAATCAACAGATGGGAATACAAGCATTTCTTTTTCATCTCCAGTTCCTCAATGCACTTTATTTGGCAATGCAGTTTTTCAGTCACAGACACAAAGAACTAACATTCTTAAAAACTCAAGAGAAATGATGCTTTCGCCAAATCCTATAAATCCGGTCCCTGTACTCAGCTCGTGTCTGTGTCCTATTAGAGGAGCAGGTGGTTCTTAGAAGGCAGGACCAATGGGCAGGATCTCTTAGTGTTGGTAAGTAGGCTCTTGGCGTTATCATGCGCTTAATCAATACAAATCACTTAGTTTCTGTCTCACTTTCTGATCTGGGGAAGCTTGATCCTGTGTAGAAATGAGTGGTCATTTTACATTTTGAATGGTCCTATAAAATTGGTTGAAAACAGCTAATTAACCCTCCTTGGTTTTGTCTTGTGAGAAAACGTTTCAAGGTTCTCTCTCTTTTCCTAACATAGACCTTTATAAGTTTTGGTGGCATGGAAAACAGGTGGTCACAAAAAATCTTTCACATTGGCAGCCAGTCAAGGCTCTCTTGCATCTGTTGTCACTTTGGGAAGTGAGTCCTCTCCAACTTACTTTTCATGCTGTTTTTAAAGCATGACTAAGCTGCTCTAGAGTACCCACTCATTAATTCTGTCTTCTCTGACCTGTCACAAGTCTTGCTTGTCCCTGGTATGTCAACGGACTGCCCACTGCATTCCTCTATGGCTTTTTTAGTGCAAGTTGAGAAACTAGACTTGCAATTCTTTAGTATGTACACAAAATATCACTATGGTCTCTACTTGCAGGGTTATATATTCTAAACATTGGTTAAGAGGCTATGAAGTAAGACTGGCTCTGTTCTTTTATCCTACTTCTTAGAGCTACACAATGCACTGGAGTAAGTTGGATCCATTTTTGAAAGTTCATAACTTTCCTAAACATTTATCAAGGGCAAAAAGCTCCTAGGGAATTGCAAAACTCATTCATTAATATCAGCTGCTTTTTTAATCTTCATGCCCCACTAACTTGAGGGCTACCTACGAGGCATTGTCTCAGTGTCACTAATGCAGTGGTGTCCTTATAACGACACCACAGTACAATTGGACAAGGGTACTTTCTTGACTCTAGAAACTGAGGCTTCCATTTAAGGGAGAGTGTCCTAGTGAAAACCCAATTTCCTGTGCAATGTATAACTCTAATTTGCATGATTTGGTTTTGAAGATGGAAAACAGATTATTTTCTGGCCTGCATTAGAGAGAATATCTCAGTATTTCCAAGAGATGTGCTACCATATGAAGTCTTAAGATTAGAATATCAGATGAAGTTTGTAAACTATGAAGCAACTATAGCATGAGTGGCTATAAAATAGATAATATTGAAGTCACAGCTATACTAGACATTTCTAGAAAACAGTGATAACGTCTTCAGTAAACAAAAATAATCCCACAGTTTCAAGTCCCCTTTGTCTACTATGGAAAACGGACTACACCTTTGATCATCAAAAAAGGAGAGACTCTCTATTAACTAGGACTTTGCTTGCCTAGACCCTCAAAGGCTGGAAAATGGATCCCTTAGAAAATTAGATCAAGTACCTGAAAGAACAATACTCCATGACAATCTACAATTTACCATCAGAGAATTTTTTCTTTATGCTCTCTCATAAAGTTTTAGCCTTCTGTTTCCAGAAGCCATCCAATTTTATTCTCAGTGTTTAAGAAATAATACAGATAACTCACCATTTCAGCTTCTCTCTTATGCACTTTAAATGGTACTATGTACCATCTTCAGGATTTAATTCTTTCACGGAAACCTGGTTGAGAAAGGCTGATTTGATTCATTTCATGATCTATAACTTAGGAACATTTCCCAAACCCAATTGTCTCTTTTCTTAACTACTTACATCTTTGATTTCATTGAATCCTTAGGTCTCAGTATATCCTAGCAATTTCTTAAGTGTAGGATTTACAGGTTTGCATATATTTCTGGTAGTGTCTTGAATGGAAGCAAGTAATTCATACAGAAATTAAATGAGGATATGTATGTGGGTTTTGAAAATAAATGAAAATTTTTCATATATAACTAAAAACAAAACAAACAAACAAAAAAACTTGTCCCGGGGTTGTTCTGATCATTTATCTCACTCCTAATTGAAACCTATCTTAACTGGGGACTCTTTCTGCCCTCTTGGTAGACAGTGGTAAAAGTGATAGTCTGTTGTATAAATCTAACCTGTACTAATATTTGTTCATTTTTTACTATTAAAAGATATTTTTGATGGATCAAGAATATGTAGTCATCAGCCCCTGCTTTTGTCCTGTCCCTTCAGTTTTGCTCATTCTATTAAGAGAGCAAAATTAATAGGAAGGACTGATTCCTAAAGATAAAAACATATTGGTAAAACATTTTTTAGAGATTTTATTTACTTATTTGAGAGAAAGAGTGATGAGAGAGAGAGAGAGCTCAAGTGGGGGGAGGGGCAGAGGGAGAAGCAGACTCCCTGCTGAGCAGGGAACCCGACATGGGGCTCGATCCCAGGATCCTGGGATCATGACCTGAGTCAGGACTCTGAGGTCATGACCTGAGCCGAAGGCAGACACTTAACTGATGAGCCACCCAGGTGCCCCTGGTAAATATTTTTAAAAATCATTACTCACAACAGGATGACAGAGATCATTGACACTGAGCAGGAATTCATTTAATCATACTAGATATTTCTCAGTTATCTATTCATTAAAAGCTTTCTTGAGTGTCAGATATGTGCCAGATATGATGTTAGCTCTACCTGGGGATATAGTGGTGAATGAGGTCAGATGTGGTATCTGATCTATGAGCTTATAGTTGAAGAATTGAAATAAGTGCAAAAAGGGAAATTACAGGGTGCTTCAGAAGAACCTAACTTTGTGTAGATGGTTAAGAGCATCTACTCGGAAATGGGTAAGAGTGAAGCAGGCAAAAATGAAATGGAAGAATGTAGGATTCTTTTGGAACCCTACTGAGTCTTCCTCCCTCTGCCTTAAGACACACACACACACACACACACACACACACACACACACACACACCCCAGTGCTATAAGGATTTTAAATTAAGGATGTGTATTTCTGGAGAGACCTAGTGATCTGGGACTAATTATATTTCATTAACCTAATTTTCCTGGGTTAATTGCTAGTAAGTGAGCTGAAATAGGCCATGTGAGTCTTGACTGTAAGTCTCGACTATATGGTCTCCCAAATAAGGATTCATGACACAGTCTCTCTATCTGTAGAGTAGCTTTAGTTTTTTGTCTTTCTAGTCTGTCACTTGATCCCCAGAACCACAAACTCCTGTGTGGCTGGTAAAATTGCACTGGAATGCAGGGCAAGAGCAGAGCATATGTCATTCCATTTATAAGTCTATCTCATTTCAGGCCTCAGTTGAAAGGGATTTTGCTAATCTTAGAAACAACTAGAAACATTTTCATTTAATTAAAATGAGTTCCCTTTTAACTGTTTAGTAAACAGTAATGAATAACTTGCCTCCAAGTCTAAGAGACCACTACTTTTTCCCTTAAAAGATATTCATGGATTTGATTAACAGAAAACCACCAAACGCACATTTCTGTCCAGCTGCATTTCTAGGTCTTAATTACGCTCTCTGACAATGAGAATCAACTTCAGGTTTTTCTCAGGAATAAGGACAAAGAGAAACAGTTACCTCTGAGGTCAGGAATCCTGAAACTGGCTGGAGTCTTTGCTTGTTTATCTAGGGGATTTAAACATTTCCCAAATAACTGACCCAAAAGGCATCCTGAGCTACTCAAGTCCTTTTGAGAAGAAGCTATAAAATCAAGGCCAGTCAGGATAGGAAGCTCCAGATTTGGCAATACTTAGTGCTACCAACCATTGAATCAAGAATGGGTTGCTCACCCAGTTCTCAAGTACACTATTTAGCATGGTATCCACTGATGACCTAAAATGTGTTAGACTTAAATTCAGCTACTTAAAGTGAAGAGGGCAAAATGTCCTTTCCTTTTCAAATGCCTGCTTCTCTTGCTCGCTGCTCCCACAGGCTGGTGATGGAGGCAGGAAGAGGGATTAAATACTGTTTCAGTAGGTCGGCTGATGAAATATCCTTCTATTCAACATAAGCAGCTTTCTCCTCTCACCCCAGAGATAAATTATCACTCATCGTGTCCAACACGGCAAATACCTCTCCCTGCCTTATTCCACTCTCCCCTGCTTTTCCCTTGCCCTTCTGAACACTGCCATCCTTTTCCAAGTGCCTTAGACCAGTGGAAACCTGGGGCTGAAAGGGACCTCAGAGGTCATCCATCCAACTCACCTGGCCCCGCCTTTCCCGTGCTGAGAGGTGCATCCATCTGGGGCACAGACTTGCAGCTTTGTGAAACTAATGTCTGTTATTCTCCCCACTCTCTCCTTTGTCCCTACAGCGCCATGGCTACTTACTCTGCCACATGTGCCAACAATAGCCCTGCACAGGGCATCAACATGGCCAACAGCATTGCCAACCTGAGACTGAAGGCCAAGGAATATAGTTTACAGAGGAACCAGGTGCCAACAGTCAACTGAGGAAAAAAAAAATAATTAAACAGGCCTAAGAAGAAATCAAAAACCATAAGACACCTATCCTGCTCTGTCATTTCTTCATCTGCTGGAAAAAATAAATAAAAACAAACAAACAAACAAACAAAAAACCTGAACTAAAATATTGGGACCATGGCAGAGAAAAGCAGGAGAGGAGCAAAATGAAAATTAGTTAACCAATGTTTCTCCTCCCTCTGAGATACCACCACCACTTGTTTCTGCGTGTGTTAATTTTGTTTTTCCTTCTACTCATGCGCTTTGCTTTAATATACTCCAAGCTTCTTCAGTTAGGTTCAGCCCACCCACTCCCATGATCATATGGGTTTACAAAAAAAAAAAAACAAACCCTACAGCAGCCAAAGAAACCATATATATAGTCAGAATCATTGTCTAGCGTCTCCTCAGTGACCTGTTTGAACCTCAGTGCCTTGCCCTATCCTTCTTCCCAGTTCTCTGTATAAAAACTCTAGGAACTTCTGAAAAGCCGAAGTCTTTCTGAAGAATCTGTGCCAGATATGATTTCCTGTCTCATTGTCTCCATGTCTGTCAGTCATGGTAAGGTTTTTCCATCAGCTACTGTTAAGAAAGCAATTACGTACAACATCTGGTCACTGGCTTGTCTGATCCAATGTGATTGGCCGTGTCTGGCTAATTCTAAGCTCTAAGCTGTAGATCTAAGCTCTCCATATAAGCTATAGATTTAAGCTCTAAGCTGTAGATGATAATATCACCATCACCACCACCCCTCACCCCCATCCAAGCAATCAGCCATCTTAAGTTAAAGATATTTGTTGTTTTTGAATGATTTGCTGTCACGGGCTTGACACTTGAGAGAGGGAGAGACATTTCTTTAGGAAAACAAAGACTGAGTTGTGAAAGGCATGGCCAATATCTCTTTAGTGCCTTAAGAATAGTCAGATGCACACTTATATATATACTGTATATATTTATATATTTTATATATATATATATATAAAATATTCTTGCAAGCTTGAGTTTGCAGTTTCTCAAACACTACAAAAAAACAATTTCACACCATCACCACTGTCCTTAATCTCTACAGTGATGAGATGTTTTTAAGGATCTTTTTCTTTTCTTTCTCGACATAAAATTCTCATTAAGGCCACAGAGCGATTGATAGAGCATCTGTTTAAGAACAGGTCTCATTTTCACATTTGGGCTTTAAATAAATTAGAACCTATTTGAGGCTATAAAAATGTTCTTGAGTTTGGAGACTGAGCTCTGGTGGAATGGGAATATATCCTAATACATCATGGGAATTACATTTAGAGGAGTGAAAGCTATGTCATCATCTGGCCCTTCTCCACTCAACAGGAATCTGAAAGACGTGTTTAAATGGAATCCTTAAAGTCTTGTCTAAATTCCAAAAATTTAAAAGGCAACTGTGGGCTAGTCTTTTACTAATATTTTGAAATAAAATTTAGTGCCTAGGGCTGTGAGCCGGGACTGACCTGTCTTTGTTTCTTTCTTTTCATCTTCAGCTGTGCTTTTATAACTTGTCAGGTGGACTAGACCAAACCACACCACCATGCTGTGCCTCAGTTTACCTTTTTGTAAAATGGGTTTAACAATACTTACCTACCTCACAGGGGTGTTGTGAGGCTCTATTCATTTGCTCCTTCATTCTTTCCTGTATTCTCTGTTTGTGCAGCACTTTGTAGCCATGGGAGGAAAGGGACTATAAAAGTAGACAATGTTAATGGAAGGATATGGTACCTGGAAGCCTTGTTTTCTAGCAAGGAAATGCTACCTTGCTGTAAATACTTATAGCCTTGTATTTGGAAATGAGAAATAAGTTTATATTTACAGACCTCTCAAAAATCACATCACTTGACCAAAGAATAATTTAAGATACACAGAACAGACATATTTTTGACATATTTTTAGCCTGACCAGGTTGGTTCTAATAAGTTTAGTTATCAGTAATTAAAAAGCTTTAGATTGGTTTTGGCCAAATATGCCAACTCTGAGTGACAGGCATGGACTATTGAGTTTAAGATGCACTTTCAGCACACGTTTGTTCCCCCGTTGGCCTATCAAGTTGAACTAACGGTGGTATTTTTTCAGCCAAACAGCCACCAATCTGAAAATGTATTTTAAATGTTGAATCTGTACTTCTTTGAATAACAAGAAGAAAGCCCATCTTATGCATTTTGCTTTCATCCACTCTTTCCCTCTTCTTTTAGCATACTATTAAAATATTTCTTACTGATGTTTCATGTAGGCTGGCTGAACACCACATATTACTTGCTTCCTAAGGAGTCCCTCGACTAATTCTTTTGTCCCACTAGCTGCTGTGGACTCTCAAGATTCAAAGGAACAGTGTAGTCTAACAGAGGAAAACATTCTTTGTGAAATGAGTGTGATCCAAGAAATTGGTGAACTATTGGAGTTTAGACTTTGGGGAGAATAGTTAAAAGTGAGTTTGGGTTATAGTACAAGGAACAGAAATCATACATGACGAGATGCTGCTAGGAAAGGGGAATTTTTGAAGAGGGAAGAAAGGAATAGAAGGTCATGTGAAACAGTCATTTGAAGCTTTCATCCTGACATCCGTTTTCAGGGGTGAACAGAAAAGCCTGAACCCAAAACCCAAACACTATGTGAAACCGGGCAGTTTTACCACCAATGCCTGGGAAGCAAGAGAGTAGCCAGCGCTGGTCAGCCATAGGAATTTTCATTGTTAGTGAATCAACACCACAAACATTTATTATCTAAGCACCTGATCAAAAAGTATACACATGAGACAAGCACTCAGTATTGTTCATTTATTGTTGATTTTTTTTTTAAAGTAGAAGTTTGATATATGATTTAGAGGAGTAGCCTTTTGGCTTCCAAGCCAGGTCTCAACAGAAGACCTCAGGCCAACAAAGTTCCAAGGCATACCCCCTATTCCTCACCATCATTATACCCAGATGCAGATGAATACATGCAAACTATCTGTCTGTGTCCCCAATCCCTCCCCAAACAAGATGCTGATTTGTAGGATACTTGGCAGGTTAAGTCAAACCAGAAGAGGTGATTGAATAAAAAAGGGAATGACACTTAGGGTATAAAGATCTCATAAGAAATGTAATATGTAAATTATATCTTGCTTTATGATGTAAAATATACATTGTTTGCGCTAGAATAGAAATGATTCCTTTTCAATAAAAAGAAGAAGGATATTACTATGCAGTCTTTTGTTATATACATTTGAGTCTGCTGATTCTTTTCTCTTTGAACTTCAAAAATAGATCTGCTAGGACCTAAGGGTACATGCAGGAAAGAGTGAAGGTAAGAGGGATTTGTGAATAGAACTTTTATTGGAATGTGATAGTATTGCCTAAAAATGAAAATAATCTATTCCTCAAAAGCAAAGACAATGGTGTGACAGAGAGGGAGCATTTATTGGTAAAATGGGTAAAGTGAAACTTTTATAAGAACTTAGTTATTTTTTACCCAATTCTTTAGAATCCACAACATCAGCTATACAAAATATAAAGCACAGGCTTCTATTTTAGAATAAAGAAGTAGAGTAAAACTTAAATACCTATTGTGTTTAGCACTGGGTGTGTGGTAATGGTGGCGGGGTGGGGGAGTGGATAGAAAACCAAACTGGGAGACATGGGTTCTGTTTTCATACAGATTAAGATCTGATTTAAAAGGGAACTCTCTGATGAACAAATGTATGCAACAATTCAAGACAATAAATGAATGTGTCAAACAAATTGAGTGGACAGGCGTCCAGAAGAGGAAGAAAGAAACACTGAGCTGAAGTGGAAGAGGGTTTCACGGAAGAACTGGGACTGTTTAATCAGCTGGGACTGGGAGGAGAGGGAGTGCTGCCTTCAAATCAGAGAATGGAAAAGGGATGAAGATGGGGACACAGGAAGGAGGAATTTGTGTTCAGGGACCATGGAAATATGGGCCCAGATGGAATGGAGGGTTTATTTTGAAGCCTCGTGGGAGAAAACACTGGAGATTGAGCCTTCATCTTGCAGAGTATGGTGTGTCAGGACAAAAGAGTTTGGAATTTTGCTCAGGCCATAGAAATCCATTGAAAGTTATTAAGCAGGAAAAAAAAGAGGTCATGCAAAAAGTACTACTTTAGCAGGATTATTATGGTAAAAGAATGAAGATAAGCCAGAGGAGAACTGGAACTAGAAGCAGAAGAGCAGTTCGAAAGGGGACAAAAAGCAAAGGTTGAATAAGAAACATCTTGCAAGGAAAGAATTAACAAGACTTTGTGGCAGGAAAAAGAGAATAGAGTCTAAGATAATACTGGTTTGAAACCTGAGAACTAGGAAAATGAATCACAGACAAAACTGACAAAAATCAACAGAAACAGAGGAGACCCAGTGACAAAAGGCAGTAAAGGCAGTTTTAGGTGTGTTAACTGAATTTGAAAACAAATATAAGTTAAGATCTGAAAGCTTGGCTTGAAACCAAGGTCAAAAATGGAGATAGATCTTTGGGATTCAGGGCACCTGGGTGGCTCAGTCGTTAAGCGTCTGCCTTCGACTCAGGTCATGATCCCAGGGTCCTGGGATGGAGCCCTGCATCAGGCTCCCTGCTCAGCGGGAAGCCTGCTTCTCCCTCTCCCACTCCCCATGCTTGTGTTCCCTCTCTTGCTGTCTCTCTCTCTCTGTCAAATAAATAAACAAAATCTTAAAAAAAAAGAACTTTTTTCTTTATTTTTAAGGGGTTCATCTTTAAGGAGGTGGTACCTTGAGGTACAAGAATGAATGAGTTCTTCGAGAGGAGAGAGCATCATTGTGCTTCCATTGGAAGTGTAGTGGGCCCTTGAACAACAAATTTTTGAACCATGCAGGTTGACTTATGGCTTCTGATCAAGAGTAGGTATTAGTAGTTAAGTTTCAGGAGAGTTGAAAGTTTTACATGGATTTTTGACTGCACTGGGGGCAGTCAACACCCCATGTTGTTCAGAGGGTCAACTGTAGTTTTCAGCCCAGGGAGGAAGATTGGACTTTGTAGAACATCTACACTTAGAGGTGAGAGCTACAGAAGGCAATTTACAAGGAACTGTTTGAGAAATAGGAGGATCAGTTTGTTTGTTATCCCAGAGTTAAGAAAAGAGGAGTCTTCAAAAAGAAAGGAATGTTTAGTATACTCAAATACTGTAGAGCAGACCAACTTAATTGGGGTTGTAGGAAAGGCCATTGGATGCATGATTTCCTCGAGTACAGTTTACTACAGTGCTCGAGGAAGAAGGCACATTTTGACAAGTCATGGTAAGAATGAGTGTTAAAAAAAAAAAAAAAGGAAATGGAAGCATTGGCTTATAGAGCACTTGCTTGAGACACTTCAGCATTGAAAGTTTATTAATAAGGATTATTTTAGCTACAAGTGGCAGAGACCTACCAACTGGTTCAAACCAGAGGGATGTTATTTAAAACCCACTAAGGTTGCCCACTAAACCCAAAGAAGTACTGCTGGAGCCAGAGCAACTCCCAGGATCCCAGATGCTGGAATAAGGCCTGTACCCTTAGACCAGACAAGGTCCATACACCCTGCCTTGGAGCCCACCAGCACTCTTCTGACTGTGTCCCTCCTCTGGGCAACAAGTTTACAGGACCAACTGGATGTGCTCACCTGGAACCTGCACTCCTCATTGTAGACCATCCATCAAGCACTTGGGATTTAGAATTCCCTGTCACAATAATCTGGAGCCCACTTTCAGGGCCCACATGGGCCTCTCTTCCTGGGACCACTGTTTGTGGGGGTCATGGTGTATAGATGGATCTCGGATGTACCCAATGCAGTTGCCACCTTCGTATGGGGAGGTCTACTTTTGGCGCAGGATGGGCTGATGTGAAAATGGAAGTGGGCAGGTCACAGGTTGGGGTTCTAGGGTCTGACCATCCCTACACTGCCATATTCTGGAAAGGAACTTC